ACCTACGACGACGATGGCATTGTGATCTAGAATCGAGGACAATCACAGGTAGAAGGATCAGGCCCTCTAAGTGATGAACGCCAAGACATCGGGTCCTCTGAGTGACAAGCACACTTATTGTTTTGAGAAGTTTGATGAAGTTGAAAATTCACCATGCCTTGGAATAGTGTCCTTGGAGTGACGAGGACACTTATTGGTTTCAAAGTTATTATTGAGTGTACACACACACCAGGCGGGATCTTTGAAAGAGCTACTACGACGCGATGGTAATGAAGCTGCACAATCTTCTAAGTCTGTAGCTGATAGACAGAATCTACCGAGATATAAAGACAGGAATGTAATGACCTCTACGAAGCTGAGCGTAGGTATGTATGTATGTACATATATAGGTAGCTACGTAGTGGCAGATCCCACGCAGGTATATAGTATATGTACCTGCCTACCTAGCTAGAGTCGGACTAGACAAGAAGCCGAGGAATTAAGGACCTGTACGTACCTAGCAAATTCACTTCAACAGTGCAGCAATAAACCCCCACAAAGGTGTAACAAATCCACGAGTACAGCACCATTCCAACGGAGGTACCTACGATTGAATCCTTGATGCCATGAGTGTGACACAAACTTTCAATCAATTTCGACGGCGCTGCAACGAGTAACAGAAATCACGAACTGATGAGTTGGCAGTGCAGGTCGCGAAACTCGTACATACGATACCTTGTCTGGGTACTAAAAAAAATATTATGACCGAGACAGGGGTCGAACCTGCGACCTTCTGATAACTTGTGACTCGCACGGGAAGACCGTGGCGGCAATCGTAGTCAGACGCTCTGCCATTGAGCCACACGGCCTGAGGTAGTTACCAACACATCAGCATTTAGAGGTTATCAAGTATAGGCAAAGTTCGAGCGCTAGGTGTCCACTGTCACACGGAATACATGCTTCGACTTCGAGGGTGAATAATAGAATAAATACAAGCTGCTTGTCAGGGACAGTGTGTTGTGGGACTGGACAAGTGGCAGGGAGTGGGTCCGCAAGAAGTCAGAGATTGCGATGGGAGGTATAAAGAGACAGGGCCTCGCACATGTATGGTAGAGGGCCAGAGATTAAAACCTTCAAGCAATCGACACCCACCTTTGACATGTTGTCCTCAGCCTTCACTCCGTTGTGACCTCCTTAGCCTTGACACTGCTTAACTGAGTATTGATGGTTACTGTATGTTGTTGTTTCTCTTTCACAACAGCATCCCTATACTTCCAAGTGCCGACGCCATCGCCTTCTGCGACAATCAGGGCATGAATTTCCGCGTCGATGCTAACTTTCATCCTCAGCTTTAATCGAAGCCGCCGTTAAAATTTCCACTACATCCCGGTTAATCTTAGGGATCTAGGTCCTACATGAGAGGCGCCCTTTGTTGAGACGCGCGAGCCATCTCTGCACCAACCTCGGAACGCCTTTATGACCACTTCAAAGCCTTGCCCGTGGCCTAATGATTCGCAGTCGTAAAGGGCAATCAGGCGCCTCTGGAACAGAAAACTCCTGAGCCCGACGACGTCACTTTCGGATATGAACCAAAGGCGCTGTTTTTCAACGCTCTACCAAGTAGCGTCAAGGCGCGACGATGCGATCGGTGTGACGGCGAGGATGGTCAATGAGTCAATGGCTACAGTAGGACCTACTCTATCAACGGAGAACAAGCTGAAGAAGAAAAGGGATGGAGATCCCGCGTACGCGGTGTACAATATGTGGGCAGAGTGGCTGGTGTGTCACGTGACCCAGCCGACGACTCGTGGCCGTGACAATCGGAAGCCTAGCCAAGAATCCCGTCCGGCTTCTCCTTGTCCTTGATTAGGATTGAGGGATCGTGCGGTTCAAGGAGAAGATCAGTCCTGGTTATGAGCTGCGCCTGGTCGAGGAGTTGACGTGCCCATCGGCAGATGTGCAATAAGCACTCATTTCAGGACGCCATCTTGGTCAACGCGTCGATGACTGTTTTCTCACGATCTATGCGCAAAATTCGAGGGCCAGAATGGCCGCACCTGGCAACAGCTGGCGCAATTGGTTCAGAACTTCAGAGTAGGTGCCCTCGACATCGTTGGTGTAGAATAACAGCACCAATCCCGTGTGAGAATTGCACCCGATGTACGGAGTACTCTGTGACTCTGTGAGTCTGTGACTCTGTATTTAATTACGGAGTAGGGGCCTCGCTGCGAGTGAATCGGGGGGGCCACGCAGCGAGACCCATAAAGTATTGCGTCCAAATCGACCCGGAGCATTTGTACAATAGTCCACTGTGAGCCGTCCGTTCTTCTTTTGCCCTACATACTTTGAAAAGTATTGGTGCATGCATAGTTCTGACTCTGTGTCCTCGGTAGCGTTGAGTCTTGACCGAGTTTTGATCCCTTATTCGCTATCAGCTGTCCTCATCGTCGCGCAACGTGTCCACATCTGATGCCAAGGGGTCGCCTATGCCTGCTACAATGTGACAAAGAGGCTAAAGTGATCGATTATTGATACGCGAAGTCAAGGTGGATGGAAGTTGAAGTTGGAACGGGGACGCTTAACGTTTTTGACCGACACAGAGAATGGCATCTATAATCCCGTATCTCGAGACATAGCGCTAGTGACATATATTGAACAGATCTGCAACCCTCACAGTGCTCAGCTTCCTCAAGCCGGAAGAAAAGCCGGAAGAAAAAACTACGCATGCGTGCATTACGTGGAACGATCATGGTACGCATGACCGCCGCGGTTGAGTTCAGCTTCTCTGCTCACGCGGCTCTTTCACCGCCTCAACTTTAACAAGCCATTCTCTTTCTGTTTGTGATGTGATTCCCCGATTAAGGAAGTGGGGTCCCACGCCCAGTCGAGGAATAACAGGATCGTGATACTTTTCTATGCATCGATCAGTCAATGTGGGATGAGCCGACGACAGTGCATCTTGGGCTTACTGGGGTCAAATTGACGCCGAAAAATGGAGAAAGGAAAGTGTTGAGGATTGATTGACAGTGAAAGACAAGACTTACTGGGACTGAAAGACTGGTCGGCCATCTTTGCCATAATCCTGTCCTGTTCTTCCCTGAACCTTCGAGAGTTGCCCACAGCAGGGGGTACTGTCTCGGCGGCGCCGGAGAATGGCTGCGATGAGAGGAGAGCGCCGGCCATAATGATGACGTGTGGAAGGACTGCGTCTTCAGAGCGCCGCGAGAAGAATGGAGCTGTTGAAATGCTCGGTACTATACACTTCGCGGAAACGCATCAGTGTCGTCATGCGTAATGAATCCTTTGGAGAACCCGACCCGTGAGCTTACGAAGACACACGTGACACACCGTACCTTATTAGGTACATAATAATAGTACATACGTACCTACGCAGGTTCTACTTACCATGTACATATGTACATACCGGTAGGTAGGCACCTAGGTACCTAGCCTCTAGAGGTACATACCTAGGTAGTAGTAAATTGCGGCGCGTACGTCTACTGATCCTGCTCCTGACAGAAGTCTAGTCTCGGCGCCGTCTACACAACATTCTCTAATTATTTCCAACGTCCTAGATGATCACGAAGGAGGCAGTCAACTGAAACTCTCGATAACTTTGTCCCGCATAATTTTCTGATGCGCTCAATAGCTTCGACACATTAGTTCATTGCGAAATGAAACATTCAACAGTCCCTGATGCTTGGGACGAGGACTGGGAGGTGCAAGCCGACAGTGCGGCGAATGATGAGGATAACGAGACCGAACATGATGTGGAAACATCATCGCAGCCCACACCCTCACTGACCAAGGCAGAGCGCATTACGAAGCATTGCGAGGCAAACCGAAAGGTGTGGGAATTTGCGTAAGTGAATAATTCTGCTTGTTTCTCATATCCTCTTTTCCTCTCTTTCTCTCTCCCTGTCTTTCCCTCTAGCTGACGTGAAGGCGGAATTGCGACGAATGTATCTAGAGACGCTTCGCCGCAGACCTTCCATTACTTGGAAGCCAGCAATACCGTTCCCCTGACCTCCTCATTCAAACCACAAGTCAAGGTTCTATCACGACAACCAATCATTGCGAAACGCGGTGCCGCGTCTGGCGGCATGACACTATCTGCCGAATATGACGATGATGCAGAAACTAAGAACGATCGACAACCCACGGCTGATGAGATTCGAGCGAAGCAGAAACGAGATCTGGAAGAGAGACAGCGTCGATATGATGAAGCCCGAGCCAAGATCTTCGGAGAATCAAATCTCTCATCTCGAGGGTCGTCGCCTGGAAATGTCACGCCGCTCAAGTCGGATGGGCGGCAGTTGAGCAGAGGCCGCGGAAGAGGAGGCGGACAGAGAAGCAACACGAGTGGCCATGAGGCAAGAGGCCAGTCAGACATTAGGCGAGCAAAGAATCAGGCTCTCAATGGCAGAGAGCTTTATAATCCCAAACTCTCACCAAAAGCCGACCCCATAAGTCAGCGGCGCAGAGTCGGAGAAGGCGACACTTCCATGAATTGCACTCCCGTTAGCAATGACCAATATCGATACCAGTCGCAGTATCAACCACCGTCGCTGTCACCTCATTACCAGCACCGCCCACAACAACAAGCCGTACGGTCCCCAAGAGGACCTGACGGCAGCGGACGCGGCGGCTTTGGGTTCGCCCGTCGTAACAACCAGAACATCTGATGCGATGTCTCGGCTCCTTTTTCGACTTTCTCATCAGTAACCGGTATGAACACAAGGCCACGCCGTTCTCCGCTATTATTCCATAGAGAACGCGACTATGAGATGCTCCTATTTCAGCTTTTGCAAAGAAAAGATACACTGAGGCGTGCTACCAGCCGCCTCCAGCTTTCCCAGCTAGCTGAACTACCTTCTCGGCCTCCGTTGCTTTTCCGACGTCGCTATTGACCTCGCGATACGTCGTGAATGCCAATTTATCGATGCTGATGCCCGTAACTCGGCACCAGTACGCCAGGGTATCATGCACATACGAGCGAGAGATGCCACCAATCACATCACCGCCTTGAAACTCGTGGCCATCGTCATTGCCGTTTCGGGCCATGTCATTCGGATCTTCGCACGAGAAATATGCCTCGTCAACCTCGGCCAGCCACTCCTTTTGTTCCTGGGGACCAGGTTTGCCCAGTAACTTCTTGCGGTCCAAGACCACAGGGTCGTCGATTTTGACCTGGCCGCCTCCGTTGGTACACCCACCTGGACAGGCCATTACCTCGACAAATTCGTATTCTAGAGCGGTCTGCTTCCCTGTTGGCCGCCGAGCGCTGCCGAACGGTTTACCGCCTGGCATCCGGGATGCTCGAGCAGGCTTCAACCGGCGTACCAGGTTCTGAATATTCCTGAAGCCATAGTACCGGGCTGCTTTGAACACGGGCGAGCCGTCAACCGCAACGACAAACTCGACGACGTCTGAGTTGCGGCCCCGAGTCGTGTGGATCTGAGAACCAGGTATCTGCGCAGCTTTGCGCTGTAGGATGTGATGGAGCAGACCTCCTGAGGTACCCGCAGTACGCGGCACTTGTTTTCGAACCAGTGGTGGAAAGAGGAAATCCTGCAGTTCCTTGCTTGGGAACGGCGGCACTGGTGGTAGAGAATAGGCCGCTATAGCATCGCAAGTAGAATCGAAGAAATCGAGGCCTCTGGACTCAGCGAGCATTAAAACCTCTTTGCTTGTGATCACACAATCCACGTCGCGAACCCCCCGACCAGGCAATCCCGAGCCAGCCCAGACCTCATCCGTAAGTTCCTCACGACTTGCTTCTAGCTTTTTATCGAAGCATGGCATGACAGCGAGGTGCCATATCCTGTGAGGGGGAATTCCCAGTTTCCGACTCAATGTTGTTTTAAGC